ATTCCTGCTTTCCCCTGAAATGCAGCTGCCTTGATAGTTTGAATTCCCATGAAATACCAAAATTCATCTGATGGGCAAGAAACTTGTAATTACATGTACAACAGAAGCGGAACAACAGAAACATACAGATTGCTTCAGTTTTTGCAGCTAGTGGGTACAAGCCAGGGCTGCATACTTTTTCAAGAGGAAAATCCTTGCTTAAGTCCCAGCCAGATTGCTAAAAACAGGAACTGAAACTCGGGGGTTGACTGGTGAATGTGTTGGGAGGCAATGAGGAAGCTTTCTGTTATTTTTTTGCTACAGATGCCCAGTAGTTTGAGGGGATCTAATTGCAAAAGTATGATGGATTGAGTAAGGAAAGCAAGCAGGTACTGACTTGTCAGTAAATCATCCTGGAATGGTAGTATGTTAGTTTCATTGTTGTTGCACTGAATGAAGAGTTCAGGACAATAGACATTTTTTTGCCATTGTTGCTCTGAGTGAAGAATCACAACTAATGAAAAGAAACCAGCCCCAAAGCAAAATAAATTCTGAGAATTTCAGATCTAAAAGTTGTTGACAGCAATTTTCAGTGTTGCACCTGATTCCCCGCTGCCCCCTTTCTCTTCCTCTTGTTGCCAACTCCCTGACATTGTCAAAAAGTTTCATGGAATGAAATACCAGATTATAGGGAGTGAGAAACACTCATTCAGACAATGATGACTGTTGTGATGTATCAGAAAAAAGGTACGAAACAGGACATCAGTATATAAGATTAAATAAAATGCAGTAGTAGTTATAAAATATTTTGATATATCTAGTATTTATCTCTAAGTATGTGTGCAACAGGTATGATAATGTTTTAGAGAAGTAAAATGTTGTTTATTATTTTAATGTCCTTAAATATTTTTGTAGTTCTGTATGAATTTTTGTAATGAAATTAGGCCTTAAGTAGTTACATGTATGGGACTTTTTGTTTGTAGCTAGTGGATATTCCTTCATGGTGCTTTACAGACCCAGACAGGCTTCTTGTCTTGTGTACTCTGAGCCACTCTACTCCAAGCTTCGTTAGCATGATGCTGTGCTTAAAATCAGTAAGACTTGCTGGGATCATAAAACTGTGGCTATATTTTGACTTCATGGGATTTGGGCTGGAGCTGGCTTATATCCTTGCAACTGAGTGGTAGGATTCAACAGTTAAATAGCAGCAAGCAATTAAACCGGCTTAGGGCATTGTTTTTCCTCCTCTTACTTTTTCACTCGTGGAAACCTAGTCTTAGAAGATACCAAGTCAATACTCAAGGGATTGCAAAGATGCCTCTTGTAGAATTCAGTTACTGTGTGGCGTGGGGGAGTAGCTTATTAGTGATTTTTTAAGATATGTAATAATTACTCTTGTTTGTGACAATATGGAGAGGAATGCATGTGCAAATATAGTTTGTTGGACTTTAAATTGAAGGTGATGTGAAAAACATAACTGATCTCATTAGATGCAGCGATATTTTGGCTTACTTGTAGTGGCTAGTCACTGGTATAGTTTTAGATTGGATACATCATTATCTTCTCTAATGAACAATTAAAACAGAATTTTAATTAATGTTTTGAAATTGTAGCTGCAAAATGGAACAACTGCTCCTAAATAGTATTTCCCACAGCTCTAAAAATTGAACAAATTTAGGTTGGATTTTCAATGACAGTGCTTTATTGACTTCACTTACGAATTGAGCAAAAACATTTCATCAACTTCATTTAACTTCACAATTTCTTAATTATTTTCATTTTGATTTGTTGGGGTCTTTTTTTTTTACCCTCAAATGTACAGTATTTTAGAGGGCATCTAAATCATAGTATGTGTGCTGGAAAGCTTGGTAGAACACTGTCCTGTTACAATGTGGAACAGAGCTTTGTGTCTCAGTTTAAAGAGAGCACCTAGTGTAGAGAGTCTCACTAGTGTATGGATGAAACATGAACGTATTCACAAATAATTAAAAGTTATGATTCTATTCAATAGGCAGTCAGATTTAGGTCACAGCAATACCTAGCCTTAAGGAGCCTTACAGTTTTTTTAGTTACAATGTAATTGCTGTGAAATGCAGGACCTTATTTTACTATAAAGGGTCAATAGTGCCATCTACTGACAGTTTGTTGGTGGAACTGTTCCTAATTGCAATTTTAGCAGACACCTCTGTAATTTAGAAGGAAATCTTTATACCATCAAATATATCAGACACTGTTTGAGACAAACTTTTATCTTCTGTTTGGAGAAACTTGCAGCTCAGCCATTTGAGAAAATTTGTTGGAAATACTTGGTGTTGTCCAGCACCAGTATGTTTTTCTCAAGAAGTTTCATATTTGAGAGCAGTCTTTAGAACTGGTGGGAGCTAGATATGTTTCAGTTACTCTGAAAACTTTGGTCAAATATTTAATTTAGAATTATGAAGACAGCCGTATTTCGTAGAGACTTCTTTAAAACATGGCTGCTAACTTTTTTACAAAGATCTTTCACCTTGGCTGTACTGCAGAACATCTAGAGCTCTTTTTGCTGAGACTTTGAGTATTTTTGCAGAGGATCTATGAGGCAAAAGTCAAATTGTGAAAGGTCTAGTATAAAGTTAGAGTATTCCAGGATATAGGTGAAGCTAGTTCATGTGATATTCCTGGAGGTAAAAGGAGGCTCATGTGTACCTCCATGGAAATAGTATCACCAAGACTGATTTTTAAAAAAATGAAAAAAGTAAAAAAGACAAAGACAGAGCAGGAGAAAAATTGAAGTGGAAATTGAAGATGGCAAACAGAAAAAGTCAGGAATCCCAAATGTGAGGTTTATTCATTGTAGTGCAAATGGCTAGCTATGACAGTGCTACAACAGAAAAAATAATCTCTGCTAAATAGTTGAATCTACTGGTTTTTGAAAGGTTCTCTTAGTAGCTGACATGCATGAAATAAACAACATTTTTGGAGAACATACTAAACTCATCTATAAGTTATTTGATAATTGTGAATAATTGTAAGAAGGCTATATCAAAACTGTGTTCTTGAAAGACTAGAGATAATTGTATGATGCAATAATTTTCATGACAGTTTTATTTGGATAAATTGTATTGTGTTAGTATGGTTGTTTTAAATGGGAATAGCAGAATGTTTTGAGTTGATAAAAGCGTTGTATGCTAATTTTTTAAACATTTGCATACTTTTTCAGGGCAAAATATCATAAATTAAAATATGGCACAGAATTAAACCAAGGTGACTTGAAACTGCCAACTTTTGAATCAGGTAACTTTTTTTACAATAGCCTGTTTTAGTATACTACACTTATACTAATCTTACAGTTTATACACTGTTCTAGATTTGCTCTGTTTAATTTATTGCAACTTTCATTCTTTCCCCCACCCCATCTTAGGTGTGTTATAGAGAAGATGCCTAGGAATGGTTTTGTATTGGGTAAATAGTGTTTAATCTGAAAATCAAAATTAATCGACCTTTCCTCTTTTGAAAGAACTCTGAATGTCAAAGAAAGCTTTAAATAAAGTTACACAATTCCTTATTTAGCTGCTGCACCTCATTATTTCTTATAATACCCTTTCTTAAAGGTTTTAATGTTTTTTTGCTGTTGTACTATCCATTCAAAAGGGAAGCATAAGTGCACAATAAACATAAGAAATACTGTTGTTCTTTTGGTGCTTTTATAGGATGCTCGTTTTTCAAAGAATGAGAAAAAAAACTTGTACTCCATTGGCCTGGAAAAAGTGTTGTTGAGCTTCTGTTTTTATCTTAAATCAAGGAAAAAAGTCCAAAGGAAAAATTAGGCTATCCTTATTGGTACCCTGGAGTGCATCTGATTTTGCAGTGTGGATCTGAAGTTGTTGATAACAGTTTTGCTCTTCACAATATTGCAGATAGAGGAAAGCATTTTTCATGACAACATTGGAGAATTTAATAAGCAGAATTGCATGTGGCTTCTCTTGAAATTTAGGTCTTCGTGAAGTTGCACTTTTGGCCTGTATTTGCCATTGGCCTTAAAACTGTGGTCTACAGATTCTTATACCCCCATGCCTTTTTTGGTTTTTTTTGTTTTCTGCTTTAGAAGTGCCACATTTTGGGTACTTTTATACCGAGTTGAAAGTAGAGATCATTATTCCTGTTTCTTGCTTGATGGGATTTTTCGTGTGTGTTTAAAAGCAGTATAAGTTAGATACTAAAATCCTTAACCTGTTAGTTTGGACCATGTTTTATGGTCTCTGCCATAGTAAAAATGCAGTGGGTCTAGATTTTAATTGTTGATGGTAAACTCATGGAATTTGTGTTAAACTTGGCATGTTTGTTTTCTCCAAATGCTGATATATGTCACTGATGCTATCTTCCACATTGCTTTCTAAGCATCTCTGCCTTGTGTAAGAGATCTAGCCTGTTTTCTTAGCAGTAACACTTGAACTAATCAGGGCGAGGTTTTCTTTTGAGTACGAGTTAAGTATTTTTCTAGTTGCTTTTCTGCATGTAAGGTGTCAGGATTTAACTGATTCTCTTCTGTTACATTATTTGCTTGATGCTTCAGTGAAGAATTAGAAAAAAACCCCCTTAAATTAATTGATTTTTAATTGATTAATTAAAATCACTGCATAAGACTGCCTCTAATTTAAAGCTTTTTTTTAAGATTTGCTTTTCGTTTCATTGCTGTCTTCTAAAAAGTAAATTGATCTTAAAGAAAAAACAAACAAACAAAAAAAACCCCCAAACCCAGAACAAAAACCCCAACCCAACTATGACACTGTATCTTTCAGAAGAAACCAAAGATACGGAGGTTCCTGCAGTACCTCAAAATAGCCAATTGACCTGGAAGCAAGGCAGACAGTTACTAAGACAGTAAGTAACATTGTTGAATATTGGTGTATTCAAACCTTTCCCCAAATTATAAGGAGTGGTATATATGTTTACTCTCTGAAACAGAGTAATTGAGGTGGGCAAATAGGGGTTCAGGACTTCGTAGTCTTGAGTTTTAAGCAGTATAGAGTAAGGTTTTTCCATATGAGATGGATAGTGATGAAACTTATTTTCCATAAATGATATAAAACTGGCATTAATTTTTAACAGTCAATAATAATTTTTTCCCTTTTCCATCAAATATGCTTTCCCCTTTCTTTCTTCTCTTAATGCATTTAGGTATCTTCAGGAAGTAGGTTATACGGATACAATATTGGATGTACGCTCACAGCGGGTAAGGTCTTTGCTGGGGCTCTCCAATTCAGAACCAAATGGTTCAGTAGAGACAAAGAACTTAGAACAGATCCTCAATGGGGGTGAATCTCCTTCATCAAAACAAAAGGGACAGGAAATCAAAAGGTAAGTGAAGAGATAAGAAATGCATAAAGTTTAAATATGTTTTACCTAGTCATTGGTATGTACTGGTTGGTTCCCATTGAACTTTCAACTGTAGAGTCTCTGAACGCTGATGAGTGTAGCTGACTACAAATTATTATGAACTTAACTGAAATTGATTATACATAGGAACATATGTATCTATATTACATACATATACCTGTATTATACATATCTATTAAATACAGGAAAATACATAGTGTATTGAAGCTGAATTTATGTCATGTAACCACTTTGGAGTTGTTAATTTAAGGAAAGATTCTGTTGAGTTATGCTGGAATTAGGCAGCTGTAGAAAATTCTTTGTAACAACTATATCTTGTTGTTTTGCTAGTTTTAAGCAAACTACCTGTTTGGTAACTTAAGCTGTTAGGGAGCAATTGCATTTAATCTGATGATCGATAATCTGATTTAGAATCGTCTAAAAAATCTTGTCAGCAAGTAAAATGGATTCTCTGTTAATATTTTTATTTATGTAGGAATTCTGGTGATGTTCTTGAAACATTTAACTTCTTAGAAAATGCAGATGATAGTGATGAAGAAGAAGAGAGTGACATGATAGAAGATATTGCAGAAGGAAAAGAAAAACACCGGATAAATAAGAAACACAAAGTAAAAGACTTTTTTTTTAAATCTAGATCTGAAATCCCCTTTAATGAGGGAAATCTTTTTTTTCCTGATGATTAGAAATGTGTCATGTTAAAATGTTCGTTATTGTACCTTTGTTACCGGAGTGAATTGTAAGCAATGTGTTATTGGTAAATTTGGCGGTTTAGTTAATATATTACCTTGAAAATTTAAAAACAAACAAACAACCTGTTTGCAAATGTGAATTAATTGCTGAAAAAGATGACTAATTTGGCCATACTGGCTTCTCTGCATGCTTTGAGTCCCTTTATGAGGTGAATTTAGCACAATACAGTGTGCATCCTTTCTGAATTATGGAGAAGGTAGGGAAAATTCCTTAGAAGAAACTAAATTACGTAATGAGGAAAAAAATCAGTTCCATGCCAAATACATGTTTAATTCTTCCTTTAGTACAGCTTTTTATTAAATATGTTAAGAGCCTAGCAGAGACTTGTCTTCAATAACCTTCTCTTCAAGGTTCTTTAAGGTTGAATTAAGTTTTGTTCTGTCTTATTTTTCTCTTTAGTTTTCCATTCTGTGAGCAGCTTTGTCGGTAGTATAGACTATATTACCTGTTTCTTTTTCTCCTGTACTGGAAGAGTCTCCCTGTCATTGGGGTTTCTTTATACAAAGAGGTTGATTTGTGAACGTTGTACTGATGGTTTTATTACTTTTTTGCGCAGTAGAGTATTCTGTAGCATGATGGCCCCTCTGGCTGCATTGAATTTTCTTAAATAGCTAGCAGCATTAGCTTGGCTTGACACAAGTCTTAATCTCCCAACTTGACTTGTCAGGAAGGTTTTTCCACTATACCTTTGGTACTAACTTGTACTTCTGGTAAATAGATTAATCAAGCAGTTGGTTGAATCTTTTTTGTTCTAAACAGAAAACACTGTTTGTAAAGCTTCTCCGCAGAGCTATTGATGTTGCAAGAAAATCACCAAGATTTTCCAGTTGATTTGTTTTGTTGCTACACCTAGTGTCAGTATTCTTTTCATTTCCTAGTGATCACTAGACTGTGCTGCTCTTTTTTATATACAGCTCTAGATCTGATTATATCTGAGTATCCTTTTCTGCATATCATATTGAAAACTCTTTTTCCCTTGCAAATAAGTACTCAGTGAGAGTAATCTATATCACCTCTACCCTAAATACTTGAGTAGAAAAAACTGTTCATGATTCAAATGGAGAAAAATGTTTATCTGCTTGCAGATTGGTAATGAAGGTTTAGCTGCTGACCTTACAGATGATCCTGATACTGAAGAAGCTTTGAAAGAATTTGATTTTTTAGTTACAGCTGAAGATGGTGAGGGAGCTGGAGAAGCTCGAAGTTCAGGAGATGGAACAGAGTGGGGTAAGATGCTAATAAAAGCATTTAGAAATAAAAGAATACTTGTTCATGGCAGTACATAAGAGTTTCAATACCTACTAAGATGGTATGGATGTGTGGATGATTGTGATGATCAAAGGCTGATGCTTAGATAACAGTGTTTTCCATGCTGAAATTTTCATATATATGTGTATGTGAGTGTGTGTGTGTATATATATGTATGTGCTGTTGTAGTTGTCACAAATACTATTATAGTTACATTTGTTTCAAGTTTTGATTTTGATTCCAAAACTAAGAGGAGAATATCTTCTTTCTTGAATAAGAAAGGCTAGGATTTTGAATGGTTTTACACCTCAATTAAATCAGCTTTCAAATCTAGAATTTTTTTTTCGTGTTTGTTTCTGATGAGGAGCTTTAAACTTTTTATGCTCAAGTTAAATGGACTTCTTTGGTGTACTTGTGAAAACGGGTGATTAGTATGTTTGTTTTTTCTGGCTGAGATTTTTAGATGTTACTGCTAATGTGGCTTGTATTAGTAAAATCAAAAAATACTTTTGTACTGGCCCAACTTATTTGTTTTAATTTAGAATAATAATAAAGTAGGTTACTAATTTGATGTGAAACAAAATAGACTAAGTCAGAAGCTCCTGGAGCCTACGTGTTTTAAAAGAAGAAATTGAAAGAGGGAGAGAATTTGGGTAGAAAAAAGAATAATGAGCCAAGTAATTCACATCTGTCCTGAAATGGGAGATCAACCATCTTAGTTTCTGAACTGTGGTGGAAGCAATTTTGTGGTTGCATACTGTAAGCCTTTCATTGTAAGGCTAAAAAGTGCTGCTAGACCATCTTGTTTGACCATCCTATGTCATTGAGACAATGAATTTGTCACACTTCGATAAACACCTTGGTGAGCAAACAGAATATAAAGACCTACAGAAATAAAAATACTGGCATATCTTCCAGGAAAATCACCCAGTCTTGATTTTGAAGGTACCAAGTATTAGAAAGCATTCCTTCCTGGAAATTAATATCAAAGGGTTAGTCACCTCTATTTTTAAAACTCAGTCTTATTTCTAGTTGGAAGATGAAGCCAAACAAACTGTTACCTTTAGTTTTGGTAATACCTATCTATTTTTAGAAGCTTTGTAGTTGTTTGATGTTGTTCCTCTTCAAAGGCAATGTTACTTCATTAGTTTCTTGATCATCTTTTTATTTAGCCAAACAGGCAAATCTCATGGTTTAAGATGTCTCATAGGTCCTGAAGCCAAGGTTTTGACGTTGTTTGCAACATCCATTCAAATATATAGTGACGTAAAAAGTTCTGGTTCTAGCATCAGTCTTACTTATCTTAAGATAAGCTAGAACTTATTGTATATTGAAGGAAAGACAGCTTGATACTATAATTCATGCAGTCAAAGATTTATCCACTGTTTCACAGCAGACTGCTGAAACTTCTGAATTAGCTTGTCCATTGAAATTCCAAGTCGTTGCTTTCCAAGGTTACTTTCCAGCATGTTATATCTCATTGTCTTCTCAGGTAGTTACCTAGAACGGGTAACTGATTCTGATTTATTTGCAATGCTGACTTTCAAGTTAAATTTTTTCAAGGTTGTTTTTGAGCAGTTCAGTTGCTGTCCCAAAGTTAAAAATTCAGTAAAACTTAAAAATCTATTTTAAAAATCAAATTGACCCACCACACTTTTCAGAGAGCAATTTGAATGTCTTTTATTAAAGTTTAAGTGAACCCATAGCAAAAGTGAGGTAGAGCATTTGGGGAGTTCATACACACTTGTGACAGCTTTTTTTGTGACAGCTGGTTTAACTACAGTAAAAAAAGCTCATGTCTGAGACAAGGAAGTGGGGAGGAAGAAATAAATATAAGCCTACTTTAATCTTAAAAATTATGTGTTCTGAGTTTTGCCATATGAAGACAATATCCATAAGTTTTTTGTATATTTTGTACTTACTATGTAACTGAATCAGAAGACATACTTCCAACTGTAGTAGCAATGCTTTTTTCATAGTATGTCACCAATTTTAGTAAAGCTGTCCTTTCCTTAAATGGATGTTTAAGGATACAATCTCTCAGGTCTTGGGGTTAAATGTCCCTTTTTTAAAGATCAGTGTGTAAATATGAAATATTTGAAGTCAATGTTGCTTTATTATCTATCAAAAATAACATTTCAAATATTGTCCCACTTAAATGCCCCCTAAAATAAAATAATACATTGCCTAAACCAGTTTATTTTAGCCTGTCATATTATTTTGAACTCTGTGAAACTGTTATTACTTGAAATCTCCAGGTCCATCCCTTTATTTTTGAGAGGGAACCTCATTTAAAGGAATACTTGTCATTACTTTCTAAACAACTGCATCAACCACCATCTTCAGTATTTCAGTTATAATTCATATTTTTCTTATCTTCATAGTGTAAGTAGTTGCTCTATTCTGTTTTCCTCTCAGCTTATTTTTTCTTCCTGTTTTAGTTTTCCTATTATTGGCATCCTTCTTTCACTTCTTACTCTGGCAAAGATAGAGGCTCTCTGAAAAAATGTAAATGTTTACATGTGTGTTTCTTGATAATGCTTTTATTTAGTATCTGGAAACCAAATTTCTGATATTTAGTCTCTCAACCTATTGCCTCATCTTGCTTTATTATTACTTTCAACACTTAATCATCGAAGTATTATCTGTAGGTCTAACTTCAGATATGCTAAAATATTTCATGGCCAAATTTGATAGCGAAACTATAACTATTGGAGACTTCTGTAAGCCAGCCACCAAATGTGTAAGTTTAGGTTGCTTTTTTTTTCCCCCTTCCTATAATACAGCTTTTTATGAACGCATTCTTTTTTGTGTCTCATTTAGTATACTTTGAGCCTTAAATTATTTTCAGGCATTGTGATTTGAAGTGTCCTGTCATGCAACATGTTTTACTTAGGGACAGCTTATCTTCAAAATAGTGAAAGATAAGCAAATTCAAACAGTGTTAAATAAAGAATGAAAATATGCAGCATACTCAACAATGAATGTACATTTTTAGATTAAAAATCTATAAATGCCTTGTGGTGATATAGTATCATCAAGAAAAAGATGCATATAGAACTTCTGTTTGCTTAAGCAAACAGGAATAAATATTTCTTATTATATATTATGTTACATATTTCAGATACTACATGTTATGTAGTCTTTTTATGTTGCTTATGATTTTGATGACTAACCACGTGTTCATCACTGAATTTCTCCTCTCCATGAAACACAAAAGTTCTCTTTACAGATGGACCATGAGTCAGAGGGTGACTGACTGTGCCCAGAATTCTGGGTGGCAGAGTGTGACTGGAATTCAGAGTCTCCTGGGTCATCTTTTAAATTAAAAATAAATAAATAAAAGCCTTTCTCCGCTAAATGGTATTGGCTAGAGGACATCCTGGATCCTCTGCATTGTCCTGATGTCAGTTTAGTGTGGGTATAAATACTGCAGGCAATTTGAGGAACTTCACTACTAAGGGGCAATTACAGAGGTCTTCTAGTTACATGGCACCGTTCTGAAAGCTAAGTGTATCTAGGTATACCAGAGAGAAACACTGCTGGGTTTTCCTAAAAATCTCCATTGAAAATTCATGACATAGATTTAGTGTTTTATCTAGTTTTCTCTTTATGACCTACATTTCAGCAGCCGATAGCATTGTTTTTGAGTATTTGTGTTTGCAGACTTATGTTTTTCCTGGTTTCTGTTTCCTGAATGAGTCCAGTTCCTTCAAATTCTTTGTATTGATACCTAAATGCCCTGTTTGTTTTGCAGTCTACAGACAGATGTTTTCTAAACTTCTGGTGTAGAACACAGAGTGAACATGTTACTTCAGTTCTGTCATCACCATCACTGAATTATGTGAACTACTCCTGATTTAATACACCCACCTTTTAAATATACCAGCATGGCAGTTTTGTTGTGGCTTTGTTTTTTTTTTTTTTTTACAACAGCATTACATTGCTGTTACATATGTTCAACTTCTGGTTCAGTTTAATTGCTGAATCATTCTCAGCAATGCTGCAACCTAGCTGATTATTTTCTTTTTATTAATGGTGCTTTGGATATTACTATTACTTCTTTTAATTTTAACTTGATCTTAACTGAATTTCCTTTCCTTGGGTTTTAAAGTTTTTTGTGTTTCAGGTTTTTTTCTCCTAATTTCCTTCCTCTTTTGGTTGGACATATCCTCTGACTTATCTTTCTGTGCCTTTTGTATTTTCTGACTAATCAGTGTTCTTCTCTGTCAATGTCTTGGCCCTGCAATCATAAAGATTGAGGTCTTTGTGTTTGCAGTTTGGTAGTCGTAGCTGCAGTTTGGTGTAGGATGTCATTGTTCTGTTCCCCTCTGCACAGTGTTTTGTGAACAGCACAGGGGACTTTGCCTTTATGCTGCCCAGTTCATGCCTTTGCCGTTTTTACCATTTCTATATTCTGCCTCTTTGTTGAAGATCGTTTTTCACTGTCATTGATCATCCCTATTTCAGTGATGGTCTTCTCATAGATGCATCAGTATCCTAGGATATCTTCTCATTCATTGTCATGTTTTGTCATGAAACGTGTACTTGAATGACTCCTATTGGTGTGCATCCTAAATGCATGTTTCTTTATCTCTGCTGTGTACAGCTCCTCTTGTGCACTTTTATGACTGTAATGGTTGTAACTTCAAAAAATTGCTGTTTTATGAAAACACTGATATCGTAGGTATGATTGGAAGTTGGGAACTGAGGAATTGAGTTTTATTATTTTATGCATTTGCAAGCATAAGTTTAGCTGGCACACAAACAGAGTTTGGTTGTTGCCTAGTTGGCTTTTAGCAAAAGTCTTTCTGCAAATGTTGCGTTTACCTTGTCTTAGAAAGAAGTTTTTCCTTTTGCTAATTCTGTGTTTCCAGAAATATTTGAGGTGGATAGTGTAGAAAAGAGGGGATTTGACTTTTCTGGGAAAGTAATTAACTCTGCAGTATTTGTCAAACAGAAAATTACATGTCTTCTGAAACTACTGTGGAACATTTTATTTCTGCTAATTATAATTTAATTGCTGGGATGCAGTGGGATGTCAATTTCTTCACCTATAAAAATTACTTTTCTTCATCTTTATGTAAAAAGCTGTATTTATGGACTTTTTTCTTTGGTTATATGTAGGACAAAGGTTTCTTTCTTGTGCATGTAGAATGAGTGTGAGAGAATGCATGGTGGTCTTCATGAATAAACTGGCACTGACTTACTCGGCTTGCATTTTCATGAGTGATATAGCATGAATACTTTTATTTGCTTATTCAACACTGGCTGAATAATTTCTTAACACTGTCTTTCTAAAGATGCAGTAATCGTTTCTGAACTCCAATTTTTGTGTATTTTGAAGTATCTACCATAAACAGTTACTTATGAAGCTTAATTTGTTTGCTCCTTAGTAACAAATTAACACACAATTTTCAAATATGTAACTGATATTATACAGTGCCTTGGAAAACTGTATGGAATGAGACTTAGTATTTTGTAAACTTAAAACTGAGACTGCACCTTTAAAGTAAAGATTTATTAAGAACTTTTATTAATGCTCTTATACAGCTATGATAGTAAATCGCCAACAGCTTGCATTGCCAACTGCTGATTTTTTTTCTTTTAATAATATGCTGCATGTAGACAAAGATGACCTGTCCCCAACTGCTGAGGTTTGGGATGTAGACCAGGGACTAATAAGTAAACTGAAGGAACAGTACAAGAAGGAACGAAAGGGGAAGAAAGGGGTAAAGAGTAAGTGCAGATTCTGAATCTTGTAATGCAACGCTTTTTTTGTCTATCTATATAGAAGACATTTTTTTCTCACAAGTTCTGTTGTGGTTTGTTTTTTTGTTTGTGTTTTTTTTTTTTTTTCATTAAGCATCATTTTCTGTAATGGGGGCAACCAACTTTAACTTTCTACCTGCTGAATGTGACTATGTCAAAACCTTTGACAGCCATTTCCTAGATGAGAAATGTTGAAAACACATAAAAATTTAAGGTTATATAGGTAAAAAGACCTAAATGCTTTGAAATGTGAGTGTAAAAATAATGAACAACTTGCATTTTGAGGATATCCCTACTCTGAGAAGTTTTCTGAAAGATAGAAACTTTATCTGCTTCTTAAAGTATAAAACTATGGTACTGTTGTTGGTGGGTTCTTTTCGGGTTTTTTTTGTTTTGTTTTATTTTTTAATGTGAGCTTGAATCAAGCTATAACTGCTATTAATGAGCTTGTAATTATTTTTACAATCTAAGACAATGAGAATTAAAAAACGCCTGTAATGTAAATATGAACTTCTCTTTGTGGTTTTGTTTAGGACATAATCTTTATTTTATAGTGCCCTTCACTTTTTCTGTGCAGTTACCACATTTTGGTTGGCACCTCTTTACCCTAAGAATTTTCAGACGAGTTGATCTATTTGAATTATGTAAGTTAAACCAAACTTCAATATTGAAGTAATGTGGTAAAAATGCTTTGGTAACTATGTCATCAGCTATACAAAGCTCTTAGTGGACGAAGTGGTATTAAATCAATGTCACTATACAGAAGCTCCCTTGATTGCAGTGTTTTTATTTTGAAAGTGTACTATAACAGTTTCTGGTGATATTTAGTAAAAAATATTTTTTCCTTGATTTGAAAAATTGTGTGAATATTTACTAACTAAATTAAATTATATTAAAATATAGCCCTTCATGAAGAATTCTGTAACTATTAAGATTTAAATTTGCTTTGTAACATCTAACAAAATTTAGTTAGCGCATGTTCATTCCTTTTTCAGCAATTTTGCATGACTTGCATGTACACGCATACAAGTAGAAAATATTTGAAGTAAAGATTTCTACTAGTCTTTTGTTTAATTAGAACTCAGTAGTAATCAGGGTGCTAACAGGTATCCTCATTTAACATGTAAATCAGCAGTTGACACCAAATTCACATGAAATATTTTATAGGGTTAGAAACTTCAGTTTAATACTAAAATGGACTTCTTTTTATTTGAAATTTTCTTATTAAACTTCACAGTTTAGACTTTTGGAAGCTCAGTGACTGCAAAATAACAGCAAATGTTTTGAATTCTGGGGGGGGAAAAACAAAGTAATTATTTAGGGGATTTTTATATTTCTCTCTCAAAGATTGTGCCTTTAGGTTATCACATACAGAAAGTTCTTGAAACTGTACTTTTGTTTCAATTCTAATCTTTTTGCACTCACCATACCAGTTAGGTTCTACTTTCTGGCTTGTGCAAGGTAAGCAGCTGTAGAACAGGGACAACTTGTGGTGTTCTAGGACTATAAATTCTATGAAAAACTCTTCTCAGGCCTTCAAATTTGTTTTAGTGGAATTATTTTGGCTTGTCTAGAAAGGATTTCTCTTTTCTCCACTTGTCGCTTCCTTGGCTGCTAGACAATCAAGAATTTCTGTCATCTTTTCGGGTTTTCATCTGTAAAGCTTAAAATTTCCAGAAGAGGATTATAATTCTCACTCATCAAAAATAACTACTTTGTCAGCAACTGGCATTTTAATGGTCTGCATTGCTGATTAAATTGATTGTGACGATAATTTAAAATAAGAGTAAATATTTTATCTGAAATGTGCAGTTGCAAAATTTAACTTTGCAACATTATTATCAAAACTTTCCTGCAGTTGCTGCAAACAGTATAACATTGTTTTGTACCACGAATGGCATGACATGTTGGACATTAATTATTATTTGACGTATATTGTCTTTTGACAATGTATGTTTCACCATCAAAACTTAAAGGAGTATTTTCTTCATCTTAAAGTAGTTTTGAAACCTGCTTATGTTCACATAAGAGAATACATGGGAGACAACTGTGTGTCACAATGCTGTGAGGTCACGTAAGTCGCTGTTTAGTCTGTTGGGTTTTAAGTTTAGATTCTCCTTTGGGAAACCCTGAGCTCATATAGATAGTCTCAGAGTGGTTTGTGGGATTCTGTACTTGCATCACATTCATGATGATAGTTTCTGATTAAAAATTGGCCTCTAAATCACTGAGCTAATTGAATGAGGTAACTCCACACACGGTAAAAAAAGGCATTTAAGGTTGGACAGGTTTGTTTAAATTGTTTGATTCATAGACTTTTTTTTCTCCGCCTTTTTAACATTCTGAGACTGAAAATAGTGTCAAAGGCCTTCTTTATTCCTGCTTCTTATTCAGAATGAAGTTCATGAACAATACTCATCTCTTACTTTGCTCTTCCATGAGTTGTCAGACTTTTATCAGGATTTATTTTGAGCAATGTCAGAATTTATATACATGGCAGTATATATATCATCATAAAGTTCAAATAAATGTGTATTGACTATGACCTCTTGCAATACTTTGAGGACAGCATAATAGGGCAGACATTCTAATGGTTCTTTTGCTGCGTATTCATCTGGTAACTACCATAATCTGCATTTATCTGACTGTTGCCTTCATAACAGGGTCTTCATAGCCCTGGCCCAGGTATGGTAACTTTCATTGCAAGTGTAGAGACAAGTAAGTAAACAGAAGTAGATTTGATTCTGGGTGGAACACCTTAATTTAGGTCATCTGCTGTCAGCATTTATGTTTTCATAATGCAATACTTACCTTTTTTCTTTTTTTGGGGGGTGGTGGTCGTTTTTTTCTGTCATGATAGTCACCATGTTATGTGGAAATACTACCTATGAAAGGATCTTGAAAAAAACAAACACACCAACAAAAACGCTGTCAAACCAAAAACCACCCCACACTTTAATGGCCTTTATAATATCAGCTGTTAAATAACCCAAAACCTGTTTATTGAAGAGTTCTTACATGAAAAAAAAAAATACACAAATCAACCACAACCTCTTCTGGACTTCGTTGTGATAAATAGATAAGGAGTTACGTTTGATTTTTTCCAAAATGAGGCTTACCTTTTACAGTAATACGCTGAATTTAAGGCCAGTTTCTTGCCCAAATTTCTAAGATCAATTTTGGCAGGTAAATCAGGGGATGACTTTTTCAGATACAGTCTGACACATTTTCAGAACATAATAGTGGAGATGATACATCTTTCATACTATCAGGTCAGAGTGTTCTCAGCGATTTGAAAAGCAGTTCTCACAAATTATATGTGTACATCACTGTTAAAATTAAGGTAATTTTCCAGATCGTTGTTAGTTTTCTTGAAACTTTTCTCATTTTTAACTTTCCTGCGCTTTTCCCTTAGTCTAATTGTTCTGTATTTATGAAAAAGTATCTGTCCCAATCAGTTTGCTAGCCTTGATTTCTGGGAATACAGTGTAATAGTTGATAGGCATGAAAACAGATTTGGATTTTACCATCTTCATTAGCATCACCTGTTGATGTAGAAGGATCCCTGTGTTATATTCAGACTTGGGCTGTTACATCTTGGAGTTAACAGAAATCTGCTCATGGCTTCTCAGACTGTACAGCTTCTCAGACTACAGCTTTTAAGCACTGATTCTTCAGTTGCCTTTTTCACTTTTGATCTCTGAAGGAGAATACACTGGGAATGGGATTGTAATTGTTTTGCTTTTGTTCGTAACAGGTTCACATTTACTGATTTTTTTTTTTCTAGTCTTTTCTTGAGGATGAAACGCAGTCATCCAGTTTGTGCCTTGAACATAGCTGCTTATGCAGAGACAGCACATTCTTACCCTTAAAAATATCTTCGTAACATTTAAAATACTTGAACGATTATATGAAGGTAGACTTGCACTTATTTGAAAGCGGAAATCTGCAGTCTTCTGTGGTGGTGGCACAACCTTGAATATTGGCATTCTTCAGCATGAAAGACAGAGAAGTTGCTGGGAACAGCAGTTATTACTCTTCCGTAAACTTAAGAAGTTTCGCTCTGTATTGTATGATGGATTGAGGGCTATTCTGAGGTTGTTATTATTATTGTGAGGTATTCTGAGTGCCTTGAAGGGCAAGAAGTGACTAAACGTACTGAAAAACATGAAAAGGCAAGGCTGACAGTCCCCTAATCAGTGACACGATAAATGACTGTCTGGTTCAAGGTAGCAGAGCAGGGGCCCTTCTTGTAGTTAATTCTGAGTGTGCTCTGAGACAAACTTCTCATACCCATATGTTTGGTGCTTTCAGTTTGGATGTGAGTAAGAGTTGATAAGCTGTTTTTGGCATTTTCCATGCATGTGTTGAACAGTTCATGAATATCAACATGGAGAAGACAAATGTGTGTTCTTCTAGAAAGCAAAAGGTATATTAAAGTAGACAGTTTAGGGTACCAGTGATGACTTCTGTGATGTCATTTATTGATTCCTCTATAATATCTTTAAGAATGTATCTGCTGCTGTAGGTGGCTGGCTGACAGCCAACTAGAATAAAGACAAAGCAAACTTTGTGGTCTGAATGGTGGAGACCTGACCTTTTAAAGAATTACTTTTTTATGTTAGATCTCATCTGCTCACTGCAATTAAGTATTGTACCTTTGAAATTAAAGCCTGTCAGTCTAGTGGCTATTAGAAAAAAAAGCATGGGTGCAAAAGAGGCATTCCTCATTTTTATTATTTTACACTCATATCTAGCTGACATCACAGGTTTCTAGACTCACTTCTACATAAGAGTGAAATGAAACTTAACCATGCAGGAAATCTGTTCTGTTACATAAAGGAAACTTTTGGAAGCCATTTTTATTCTCAAACAGCTTCTGGGTTGCAGCCTTTGTAGTTTTAACTGGAATACTAAGTGATCTGTAAAAGAAAGAGAAAAATGTCAGAAGCACAAAAAAAAGTATAAGGTGTTCAGTATTACTTGGCAAAAATGAAAATGTTTTGCAAGTATTAATGAAAATAGTTACATAGCATTCCTCTTTGCTATGATTCTGCTTCAAGAAATATTTTTCATTGTCATCCCTGTCTCCAGAGGATTCTTCATTATCTCCAGAGAATTTGATTATTGATGGATATTTATTTTTGAACACATCAATTTCAACCAATTTTTGTCAGTAAGATCTAAAAACTGAAATGATCAGATATTATTTGAAATAATGTTTTAGTGTTCAACTGTTTAAACTAACAGTTCTGCTTTTGATAGTCATCTGTAATTATAGTGTTTACCTTTTTTGAGAATGAAGGCTTTGTTTTAGTTTTTATTTCCTTTTATTAAAAGTGGTACATGTCACCTCAGAGTATAAGAAATTGTTTCCTAATGCTTACTTTACTAAAAAATGAACATATCTAAAAATTATTTAAGTCCTAATGTGCCCTTTTAAAGATAGTAAACACTTATATTTTAGCAAGTTTAAAAGCATAGTTTTTGAGGGTGGGGTGGTGGGTTTTTTATTTTGAATGTTCTACAGTATAGGTAGGTGCCTGCAATCCCAAGAAGGACTCTATCGATTAAAAGCTGGTTATGTCTTGCATCATTGTGGATCATTTTCTTTAAAGAGATGCTGTCAGTGAAATTTCACTTTGATTGAAGCTTGACTTTTTGACATGTAAGCTGTAAGGTGGAAGCAGGAATGAATTTATTAAAAACGTTAAATTATAACATACTATTCTCATTTGCTAGTGTGTCTATCATTAATTTAATGCACATATAATTCAGTATCATCTTTTCTGTACCTTTGTATAACAAGGGTAATATACATTTGCAGTTTCATACTGTGGTGGAAGCATTCTTGCTCTTGTGTTTAATAAACACTATACAATTTAAATACCATTCAAAAGTAGGGAAAGTTAATTGTTCGTTGCACCCCCATTATGAGTTGTCTGTACGTTTTCCCTCATTTTTAAACTTATTTTTTATTTGCACTCTATTTTTCAGTGTTAAATTGTTTAGTATAGTTAAAGTTGTGTAGTATTACTAGCAAATGTTTAATTCATATGTATTTTGTTGAATAGAGAATGTTCTTTTAATATTTGACTTGACTTCTCAGTAGGATTGTAAGACTATTTTTTTCTCTCCCACAGGAAATTGTAGACTAGATCTACAGAACTCAAAGGAGTTATTCTTTGATTTAGTGATGTTCGTATGTAGTTTTCAGATTTGATATGTTAACTCCTCCTTTTGATTTCCAAAAGATCAATTTTGTTAATATACAAAGACAAAAGCAAAGCACTGTATTTATTTTAAGGAGGTCCCATCAGTAATTATTCTTGTTTAATTAGTTTAATGGGTTTTTAGACTTCAGTCAAGTCAAGCGGTAGCAATCAAATGAATCTTTGCTGCTGACGTTAATTTACAGGAGTCAACAGGACAAAACTTCACGACATGATAGCTGATCTGGGCGATGATGAGATACCCCACATCCCTTCAGGAATCATTAATCAATCTAGGTCACCCTCTTCTAGAATGACTGATCATGAAGGTGCAAGAGCAGAGGAAGGTACAAAAAATTCAGCTACTTATTATATTTCAGGAGATTTCTTGTAGAAAGCACACGCTGTAATTTACTGTCCCCTCTATAAAGCTTAACGCAATTGCCACATTATTATTTTATTTGCAATTCTTCCCAAATGGTTTTATGAGAACATGGCTTGAGTTTCTGTGGCTTATCGTAACTCACCATCATTTCATAAGTATTTTAAAGCAACTTTATGTACAGCAGTGTGTTCTGAAACTATTCACTATTAAATGCCACAGGTTTGCAGACCCACCCCCCCCACCCCCCGTTAGCAAAAACTTTTACAAATAGGGTGTTATTGATTGAGGGGGAAGGAGGTGAGTATTAACATTTGATACACAGTTTGCATTTTAAAATGAAATTTAGAAGTGGTTATTTAAGTTATGAGACTACTTTGTCTCTTTTCCTCAAGTTTAATGTTCTCTTTTTTAAATTCTCTTGGTCTATATACACAAGTGTACAAAGACACTATTTATTTCTTTACAGAGTATTGGTTTCAGTTTCAGGATTATCTTAGGTAATGGAAGTCAGTGGCAAGCTATTCTCTAAATAGTCCAAAATCTTGCATTCAGCTTAAGTTTTTTGTTTTAAAGGAATGATTTTGCTTGTATTAACTTTGAGACTAGAATACCATTATGTAAATTCTGTCCTCTGTTTGGAACATACTCATTCAGAATACTCAGCTGAATTCAGATTTGGCTCCTTTATTAAGATCTTTGACCCAGAAGCCCTGGCATGGTATCAGCTATACCAGAAGTGGAAAGAATTTGCGTTATTAGTGATCCTGATAATGTGTTAGCTCTCCTATTCTTCCTTCACCCCTGCCCCCACAAATGCCTGTCACCAAAAATAGAAACTTTGCAGTGAGGTTTTTTGTTGCTCTCCCAAACTATTATTTTACAAAAGTGTTTGTCTTTCCACCTTCTCTTTTACTGCCTTCTTTTTCATCTTTGTTTTTATTTATGACTTAAATTTGATACTGGTTTATCTTTACCTGCAATTGAAAAACCTACTGGTGAAGTTCCACTTGCTAAAAGTTGTGGATATACATTTAGGTTGTATTTAGGTTTAGTATTTACATGCTTTAGGTTGCCTTTTAGCCTTGTTAAGGTATTAAAGGCATGTGATCCTACAGTTACAGTTCTCTCAGTCTTGTCTTAGGCCGTACGTGTTGTTCAAAGGAACACAGATGTTCATTGTTAAAGGACAGGCCATGTAGCTGTTGTCCCTTTTAGAGACTTCACATGTAAAATAATATTGGACAAAACAAGCTTTCTGAAGAAATAGATGCTAAATTTGAATTTGATATGGACTGTCTTTTATTGCCTGGTAACACTGTGCTACACTTCAAATAAAGACTGTCCACACTATTTTCAAATAAACTGTGCCTTCAGGATTATATTTTCATGCTATTTAATATGTTCATATGTTTTCAGCTTATCAGTGTAGTTTGAGCTTTATTCATTAAGAGTAGTAGTATGAATATCTCTATCGTATTTGCTAATTGTGGTTTCTGCATAACTTTTAAACTTGAATATTAGAGTGTAAATTTTGCTGTTTGATGAGAAATTTTATCCTGAATAATGTGTCACTTGAAGTTTTTTGTCTATACTGTATGGTGCAAAGCTGCAAGCAAACAAGCTTGGTGTTGTCTTTGAAGTCCTTCTAGGTCTGTCGTTTGTTAACATGGCCAAATACTTCAATATCATAAAATGCAGATTTTGCTCAATTATTTATTGAGCTCTACTTTAAAAGCTAAAATTTTTGGAGACAAATTCAGGCTTTTCTGCTGGGACACACTAGCGTATGCTGTTGAATGTTAGGAAGGCATAATCTTCTTGTGACTCTAGGTTTATGCTACACTATGAAGTGTTGCAGTTCTGAGATAATGGTTGATAATTTTGTTTTCATATAGAGGGAAAAGTGTTATTAAGGTTACTTCTGTCTTTCTTGGGGGGAGGAGGGGGCTCAGGAGGAAAGTAAACTATGGTTCTAATTGGCTGGGAATATATCTTTTATACCTGTAAAAATGTGGGGTTTGGTTGGTTGTTTCTTCTGTCTCCCCTCTCTTAAGTGCCTGGTTAAATATGATGACAAAATTTTTATGCCACAATTATACTTTATAGCTTTGCCCTTAAGAAATTGGGGTTTCCATTTCACCATATTGCATCACTTTCAGAAATAGAATCAACTGCAACGTGGTTCTCCATCCAATGTATTGTACAGAGAATTATTATTTTCACATGTTGTTTTTTGTTTTTAAATATCTATAGGGGGTGTCATTCTACAGATTGACAAAAAAATAGCAGTAACAGCTAATTGCTCAGGCACTGATGCTGCTTTTGGTGCACCACGTATTAACTTCCTGGAAAACAAGATTAAGATGTCCCTGTCATGTAGTAATCAACAGCATATATGAACATACATATTTGATTAGAGATTAAAGCGGTTGCAGTCTGTACAAATATTACTGCTTGATTTTCACTTAATTATGTGTCATGTCAAGAACTTGAGGGTGAGAAGTGCTGGTTAGGATTGGCCTGGCAAATATTTAATCATTGCATTTTTTTTCACCTGGTTTTACCTACACAGAAACTCGTAGTATCACTTGATATTTATTGATTGCAAACACTGTTAAACATATATATTATGCTATGAGGATAATATTGTACTGTGTGTGTTAAAAAAAAAAACCTTGGAGCTTTTTTAAAAGATAAAAATAATTCAATAAGTAATTTATTTAACTATCATTTGCATATAAGTTGATGCATTGGTTTTGATATGCAGAGTTGGGGGTCTTTACTTCTAGTAGCTCTAACATCACGCATCTTTCGTTGTATTACTTTTCTGACTTTTCTTTTTGTAAAAACAGCTTGCAACCATTTTTTAAACTTCTTTGAATATGTCTTTTAAAACAATAAAATGTGCAAACAAATTAAAATGTAGTTACACAACATATTATACATATTGGCAATTTCAGTATTGAGAAATATATTTCTAAAGTTTGGATAGCATTCATTTTGAAGTTTTAGATCAGGGATATTCGTCTTTGCAAATAAAGCTTGATAAATTTATAATATAGACTCTTAATGTGGTAGTGCTTCATTTTTAGTGTAAAGCACATGAAAGTTGATCTGTTAAGGACAGGTGACATTAATTTCACAAAGAATTAATATGACAAGTTCAGAGGCTTATTTAAACCTTGTGGGCCTGTGCTAAAAATCAAATAGGAGTCACACCATCACAACAGAGATGGAAAGTGTCCTCAAGTTTAAAATAAGCGTATTGCCTCCTATGTCCAGTGAGCAGCAGCTCTGTTCTATAATGACTTGGGAGGTTTGCCTTGTAAGTGGATACTTGTATTTGGGAGGGTGGGACCTTGTCAAGACAGTAGAACGAGTTTTGGAAATTCCAAATAAAAGTATTGGAGTCTTTCTATGGGAGAGAGAAAAAAAAAGCAAAAAAACCCAACACCAAAACACCACAAAATCAACCAAACAATGATGCTGACAACAAAAACTAAAATACCACTCTGTTTCTTTTGTAGCCTTTATCATTTTTTCTCCCACTCTTTTTCTGTTCGAAAAGAACCAGGAAAAACTTGGTATCTGAAGTAATTGAGGGGCTCATTGTTACTCATTTGAGGATTTCACAATTTTGGTTTGCCCAGAGAATGTTTGTGATGATGGTTTATTTCATGCTTCATATAAAGTATTGTTTGTATCTCCTTTTATACTTAGCTTAGACACTTTCACTAAGAAATCAATCCTTAGAAATTCTGGTCTCATCTAATAAGCGTGGATGACTGGATACTCCCTTAACCCGCCCAAAAACCAATAAGGGAAGTAGGTGGGAACATGGAAAACAATTAGGTGTTTTCTAGGAATATGGCTTTTTCTGCCATATGAGTGGTTTGGAATAGACTGTCAAATTGAGGGGTTTAGTAAAATATTAATGGAATTGAAAAGCTTATTCATAGAAGGGCATGGTAAGCTATTTTGGGCTGTTAATTTAATGTAATATTCTGATGAGTCAAGACCTTTGTATGGATTGTGAATGTTTTTAAAAGAGGTGATTGTGCATAATTAAAATACTATTGACTATTTTTATGCAATTGTAGGAACAGCAGTCTTTATTCTTATGTAGATGATGTTCTTAGATTCTCACATACAGTTGTATTGCCTGTGCTAATAAGGTTACATTTTTTTAGTAGTACAGAAGTTCTCAAGCATTAGAATTTGTTTTATTGTGAGAAGTGATTTTTTTTGTTGTTGTTCTAAGTGATTTTTTTGTTGTTGTTCTAGCTGGGCTGGCTCCTTTTTGTGTAGCCATTGCAATGATGCCAGGCATCTATAACTACACCCGGTCTTAGTTACTTTTCTTCAGCTGGAGTGGAACATAACTAGGTTACCATTCAGATAGTGGTGATAGAGAATAGTGAAGATGCATGTTCAAAACAGGACTGTGTTGAGTATTACTCGTCTTGTTTGGAACTATTTTTGTAAGACAAAAAACAGGATGTGGATGTTTTTCAGATCTGGAAACTTTATTTTCTCTGAGTTTCAAGGTGTTTCTGAGGGGACTAGAAGAGTGGTGTTAAAGTGAGACCATAACTCTCTATTCGAAATCAGTGAAATCCAAAAGTCAAGCAAGTTTAATTTTTAAAGATGTCAAACACAATTTAACATATTTTGCATATGTTTGCACTTAGCTAGAGTTCATGCATAGCTAAAGTTTTAAGTACTCTACCGAACAAGTGTCTCAATTTTTGCAGAAAGGAATACTGACAAGTAAAAGCAGCTTCTAAAATATACTAAAGTATTACAATGTTTAAGCCTTTATTCCTATTCCTTATTGCTAAATTGATATTTGTGGGTAGGAGGAGATGTTAAATTTTAATTTGGGGAAGGCACAGCTAGCTAAGATAAATATCAGTTGAGTGTATTTTAAATTAGAATGCAAAATGATGCTGAGAAAGTAAGAGAGGGAATAAATGAATAACAGATGTTTTAATTTTTTTAATCATCTGAAAAATCAAAGTAGAAGAGATGTTTTGCAGGAGGCCTTTAGCCTGAGAGATAAGAAGTACTTACACATGCAGGTAGAGATATTTGATTAGTATAAAGCACAGAGACTTACTTGCAAATGGGTAGAAGGCAGATAGCATGGTGTAGTGAATGAAATATTTAGCTGAGAATTTGGAGATCTGGGACATACATTTGATAATGCAATGTAAAGTAATGTCAGTCAAGTTATTGAACACCTCTGTAAAATAAATTGAAATTAAATGCCAAAGCATGATATAAGAATTGTGTATTTAATATGTGTGTATGTGTTTTCACATGTGTGCGTGTCATGCTCTCTTTTTTTAGTTGGGGCAGTATGTAGTATGTAAAAGTTCAGTTTTAAACTCTGCTTTGCTTTTAAGTGATGAATAATGCAGCTTTTCATCAGTTCGAATTATTACATTGAGACTTAAAGAAACTGTTTTGTTCTTCGTAGCTGAGCCAATAACGTTTCCACCTGGAGGAGGCAAGTCATTTATTATGGGTTCTGATGATGTGTTGTTAAGTGTACTTGGCCTTGGAGACCTTGCAGACTTGACAGTAACAAATGATGCAGACTATAGTTATGATGTAAGTGCAATTTTATTTTAAAATTCTTTGTACAGTTTAATTTAATCAGTAATGGTTGGGTCCCCTCTCCCCCACCCTGAACACTACAGCTGCAGGGAACAAAGGTTTCTTTAGCTGAAACTATTACTTGGGAGGAGGAGGGAGCAGTTTGTGAATGTGCTAATTAATTTGGGTAATCAAATGAAGTGAGATGACTTGTTTGTTTTCCACTTAGATAATTTAATTCAGATTTTGTTACTGGGGGAATGTGTAATGACACAAAATACAGATTGACATTTTAACTTGAATTTGTTTGAACAAAAAAAAAAAGGCAGTTATACACTGATACGGAGTATTGAGAAGACATGGCATAAAACACAAATATTGGTATTAACTTACTACTTTGCTCTCCCCTTTGTGTTTATGTGGTGTTAACAGCATAGACTATATATAGTAGTATATTTCAGATGTAGGCTGATGTATTTTAATTATAATCCAGAGTGTTCTGACATTCCTTTGACCATATTCATTAAGCTATTACCAGTAGTGTTACATGAATTTTTCATTTGCTAGTAACATTTGATGGCTGGTTAGGGAAGTGCTCAGGTAAGTCTTACGTATTGTACTGGATTAAATATTTTGTTATGGTTTTGGGTTGTGGTTGTTCTGGGTTTTTTTGTTACTGTTGTTGGTAAGGTACCTTTCTGCTTGTTTCTATAACTTTTCAAGTTAGATACATGGTGTTTGTACTGGAAACCATTACTAGGGATTGTATTAAAATCTTAAAATCTGTACAGTGAAGAAATTGTTTATAGCTTTTTACAGGGTCCAAAAATACTTGTGTGTGACTACACACCTTTTTTTAATCATAGTTGTCCTTCAGTTTTTCTAACTGGTAGGATTATTAATTGCTGTAATGAAGTAAGAGCTAATACTTACATTTCTCCATTATTGCAGGGTGTTATGTTACTTAGTTCTGTTTCCTGAATAACAAATGAAAATGTTAATTATCTATCCTTCTATTACTGGACTGTATGAAAATAAAAGAAAGAGCTTTTCTTAGTATTTGGAGTACTTTCTAAATCCATATAATGTATCGTCCTGTTCACGATAAAGATTAATCTTCAGGTTGTCTGTTGCATTTCAAATGACATAACACTTCTGGGAAATTAGATATCTTAAAGTAAGAGTTCAATTTCAGCTCTTTGCATCTTAACTTTCTCAGGATTTTGCCTTCTCTCTAGCTAAATCTTTTGTGTAACCTCATATAAAATGTGTCTGACCTGAGGGTCATGTACAATTGTTTAGAAAATTACCACTTTTTTTTAAAAAAGTTGCAATGAAATCTATGAGCAAGTAGACTTCCAAGAAGTTTTTCAAGAGCTTCAATTGTAAATGCTTTAAGGCAGCTTAAATTTGAAACATCCAGAACTGGATGCTCCTAACTACTGCTACAAACTACTAGTACATTTCGCTGGGAATTATGAAGTTGAATAGTTGGGGGGTTTGTTTTGCACAGTGCTGTATTTATTTGATTGAATAACTTCTAAATGCTTCTGTCTGTATCTTCATCAAAGACTTAAGAAAATGCTAACTAGCATGAGTAAAAAATACTTATTTTAAAGCAGTTTAGAAACTTGTCAGTTGATTATTTCATTTTCTTTAAGTGTTATTCCCACTTTATTGACTGTAAATGTGAGGCATCAAAAACCTAAATGGTATACTCTCAATTGTGAGATTAGATCACAAACTGGTTTTGCAGTTGCACTGCATTCTATGTCTGTCCTATTTCCGACTTCAGAACCTTGGAGTGTCAAGGTATGGTGGGTCACACTTGCCCTTCATTAAAGTAGTAAAGGTAATGTGACAACATCTGGCTCTTAAGGCACATGTTCATAACCACAGAATTTTCTGATTCTTTTAAAAATCTAAAATATTTGTTAAGCACCCTTCTTTCCTCTTCTTCCCACCAAAATCCCAAGTCAGCCTGTATGGACAATTAATGCATGGACTAATTAGTATGGTGATACTGTATTTTGCAAAGCTCCATTCTTGATTGGCTATTTTTAATGTAATTAGAATGATTATCAATCACAATTAATAGCATAAATTCCAGTGTCAGTACAACTCTAGTATTAGCAGAATAGTCTATATTTATAGATCATTATTATTTGTTGTTCTCCATTTAGCTCTCCATTGAGAATTCCTGTACATAGAAGGAACATGAAGTTCCTGGGCTGAAATGATAGCAGTCTGGAATAACAGTGAGAAAAACATCACTGTTCTTGTACCTTTTCTTAGGCATTTTTGGTTGTTTTTAGCTACTGTCAGACGCCAATGCTGAGCTAGAAGTATCTTAGATCAAAACAATGCAATCATTAATATGTTCTGATGCCATAACGGCAAATATATGCCATACTTCTTTCTATGCTAAAGAGATTGCAAGAATGTCTTTGTTAAAGAAGGAATTTGTGTAGGGAAGGTTGATCTGTAGAGAATGGCCTGTGAGAGACTTTCAGAAGCAAGACTGGTTTTGAGGAAAATGTCATGCTTGACTGCAACATGGCAACTTTGCAATATATTATTCTCTTTTGTGAAGAGATTTGTGAAGGTTTTAAGGTGTCAGTGATCCTGTAGATGAAGATGATCTTACTGCTTCAGTGTAGGTGGATTTTCATAATTTTCTCATTGAGACCCTTCATGAGAGGCTCTTTAATTACAGGTTGGTTTGGAGGTGTGTGGGGAGAGGTTATCTCATGTGTTAATATCTGGCTAATACAGAAGACAAAAGATAGAAATAAACATTTACTTTCTCACTGGATCATTCACCGAATAGGAATGAGAAGTGATTATCATAATTGTCACTTGGTTTCCCTGCTTCCTATCCAGTCCTCCTTTCCCAGTGCTCATGGGGATTTTAAAGCATATCTGAAAAATACGTGGTGGCTTCCGCCTTCTTTGTGTGTTGGAAAAGAACCTTGAGGTATGAAATAACACAAATGGAAAGGATTTTTTTTTATTTTAATTTAAGAAGAGAATCTCTGTCCTGTCATGGATCTGAAGAGACTGAAATTCAGATGCTATTAGTTCTCCATCACAATGTTTCTTCAGGTTAAAAATTCCTTGATAGTTCTTGATTTCTGAAGTTGTTTCTACGTAACTGTGGATCTGCAGTGCAATAAGACCATGTCTTACCTTGTACCTGTAATACAGTACTTGTAGGACATCTTAATCACATGCCCCTATGAGCTTAGTTGAAACCACCTCCTTTTCCAGTAAATCTCCAGATGACCAGATAATGTTAAGCTAAGTTAATGTTTAAGTTAACCAACAACAAAAAAAACCAAACCCAAACCACTTAATATTCCCACTTGCATGTTGCTCCCAATAGGTCCCTGCTCTTCACATAGCTTGTGTGAGCCATTATAGTGCATGAATAAATAAAGCCACAGCAGGGTTCCACTAGATTTCATGTATCACTCCTTGATGAGTGTTGTATTTTGGAAAGGAGAGGATATGTGAACAGGATGTGGATTAAGTTTTAAACATTAAAAATTTCAAGTATAGCTGAAAATTTTTGTAAATGATTTAGTGCACCCGTTGTCCACAAGACTAGTCATCTTAAGTGGTAGATACTGTCATATGGTAGAGTCATCTCAAGTCATGTCTTTTTCAATACCTAGTTCTTTATACTTATCTCAGTGTGTGTAGTTGTTTGTATCTGAGGGAGTAATATTGTTACCAAATCAAATGCTTCTATTTATATATTCTTGAATTCCATAGCTGCACAGGACGGTGATGGTTTTCTGCTGTAGGACTGGCTGCGAAACGGACAGTCCTCATTTATCAGAGCTTCTAAATTTGGAAATCTCCAATCAGTCACAACACTTTCAAGAAAAAAAGAGTTAAAATATCAAAAGACTCTGACTACAGTTACTAATTATTGCTTTCTAATTCCTCTGTTTGCTGTAGGCGGGTAGTTGATTGAGATGGGGAAATACATGTCTCCTTAACTATGCTGTAAGGATTGTGTTGACTGCAGGGGCAAGAAAGAGCTTCCTTCCCTAGTGTCTTGGTTCTTCTTTTTTCTTTCCTTTTTTTTTTTTTTTTCTTTTTCTTTTCTCTCCATTTTCCTTTGGGGAGTTTGGGTTTTCTTGTGGTTGGTCGGTTGTTTAGCTCAGGTGTAGTATCTTTCAGTCTGGTTTGCTGGTGTTTTACAAAGGCAGAATGAATAGGTTGCCTGCCTGTGTTCCCATACAGATAAACAAAACGAAGGCAAAAAGGAAGAGATTTTTATTAGGTTAGATTGAGTGAATAGTGTAAAACCGGCATTTCCAATTCTGATTGCTCCTCTAATCTATTTAGCAATTTCTTGTGGTATATGGTTTGTATGGTTTTTATTTGCTATAAGTTTAAGGAGATTTTTGTGGTAAAGGTTTTTTAGGATATGTAAAGTGTTTTGTGTCTCCTGACCTAGACAGAGTTTTTGTTTGGGTGTTGGTGGGTGGTTTCAGGTGCTAGGTGGGAGGAACCACTACTCTTGGTTTTGGTAGACCCTGCTATTCTAAGCATCTGCTCTGTATCTGTTTGACAGGGGACTAGGATCAAGGATTCAGCTGATCCATCTTGGTCCTGTTTAGTAAAGTCCACCAAAGTTAAGGGAAAAAGGGAGAAGGAGCTAGTGAAGCTGTATGGCTCCATAGTCTTGTCTTCTCACAACATTTTTTTATCATCTTAGAGGTTGCAAGGATCTCTTTTTAAAGATGTGTTGGTTGTTCTCTTGCAGATGTCAAGATTCATTGGAAACATGGATGGGGGGGAAATAATTTTTTTAAGATTGGCTTATATATAACTAGATTTCTAGGAAGGCATACGTGGCATCTTCTAAAGGAACCAAGATCTTCAAGTCTGTTTTAAAAAATGAAGGCTTTAAAGCTATACTTAAGATAGGAAATTACCTTGTTTTTCGTAACTTCTGTAAATCCTGTACCTTGTGTGTTAGCAGATTGATCTGAACTGCTGAGAATGAAATTACCCATTGCAACAGCCATTTTAACAAAAAAGTTTTAATGAACTCTTTTCCTTTTTTAAAAAATAAGGACCACTGTATTCAGCCCTGGTTTTCTTGAACGACTCATCACAACTGTAATAGAAATCAGTGTGATGTGGATGCACTCACACCCAAAGAATCAAGGTCTTCTGTCTAATCTGGGACACGACAACATGTGCTAAAATTAACCATGGCTATTTCTAATGTTTGGCTTTAATTTCTCTAAGCCCCAGATCACCACAAGTGCATGAGGAAACATGACTTAGCCAGGTGGATGAATACATTACATAATGAGGATTAAAAATATAGAGGGATTCTCTTTGCTAGAAAGATACCTCCTTCCCCCTCTCCCCCCATCCATTTTAGATTCAGGGAGGTGAATACACAGTTTGAGCTGAAATCAATTAAGTTTAATGCAGAACTCCAGAATTCCACTCTGTTCCCTGAAACAAAAGATTATTCATTTTATGAAGCTTGTATATAATATGCAGTGTAGTGCTAAATAACTTAAATGTCAACAAAAATATTGTGATACTCTGTATACTCTGAAGTAGGAAGATTGGAAACAAAATGCTTTCACATGAAATTATCATATTATAAATATTTGTTGGATGCTATCTAAAAAAATAAAAATCCAGGTTACACATCTGGTATAACAAGTTTCTGTTGCTTGGTCTGAATTTGGCATAGCTTGCATTTATGCCAGAAATTTACATTAGTATAAGGGAAGAGCAAATGTCTGCACATCTGTAACTCAGATCACTAAATTTTATTGTCTGAGCTTGTCTATTTAATTTGATTACATAGAATCAAATTTAGTTTGAGTCCAGGATATAGATTTGGTCCAAGAATACTTATTACAGTATAGGTTACGTTATGATCTGATTTTTATTTTGAGTCCTGACAGATGTAAGATATTAAGATTTTTATTAGCTATGGGAGATTTTAATCTCTTAATAGTGTTGCTGAAAGTATCTTGCGATACTGGGAGAATCTGGCCTACAGTTGAGAGACATGCTTTACATTACATGGTGAATAGATAGCTTTGTAAGGCAGAGGGTAGGATTAGTTTCCATTCATTCCTAGTTTGCTAATTTTGGTCATCTAACTAAAGTCAGTTTTCTAAACTCCCTTTATAATTACTTAAGAGGAAGGGAATTACTTGCAGATGAATATCTACTTGTGACGGAGGCTTAGGACAAGTGGGATGTAGTCTTTTAAGGGGCTATTCTCTGCATAATATAAACTGTATTCAAAGCTCTGAATTAATCTCTTGCAGTCACTAGAAGAGTTCGAGGTTTTCTGGTAACTTTTCTGAGTTACCTATAAATAACATTAAGCAGCTGTAATTCTTGTATTTTACCCTAATGATCTATAGATTAAGAGTATGAATTGGATTTCACAATACATAAAGGTAAAGTTTGTATATATTGCTTCACATACTAACTAAGTTATAGTCTCACAAATATATTTAGAACTCATTAAAGACTTTTAAAATATTTATATGTAATGTTATATTTAAAACCGTGACAAATGTGTATTCGAATTTGGATTATCTATGTCTGTGTACATACCTTCAGGTGCCAGAAGTATTCAGGAATTATGTGTGTTTCCTGTCATTCTTGGTCAACTTACTCATCTGAGAAAGATCACTCACTGGGGACCTGAAGCTGATTTGTGTTGTGTTTAAATGATAAATGAGCTTTTGGCAGTTGTAATCTCTTCCTTGGGTGCAGAGAACATGATGAGCAATGAAACCTTTATCTTTCTTCAGGGAAGAAGAATTAAAGTATTACACAAAAGGATTAAAACAAGGTTTTGAAAGTCAAGGCTTCTTGTCTGTGTATTCAGCATTGTACTCCATTCAACTCTGGGACAAAAGAAACTATTACAGTAGAAAGATTTGCAGACTAACTTGCATGCCAGAGAGGGAGTTACAGATGCATCTAGACAGATTAATAGATAAATGAAAACTTAAGATTGAACATGAATTAGCAGAATCAAAAATAGCATGTTTTCCTAAAATATGCAGAGATACATATTATACATATTTTTAAACCCAAGAGAAAATTACTCCTTTTCTTTTTTTTTTAAGTTGCCAGCGAATAAAGATGCCTTCCGAAAGACATGGAACCCTAAGTATACTCTACGCAGTCATTTTGATGGAGTGCGGGCATTAGCTTTTCATCCTGTAGAGCCTGTGCTGGTTACAGCCTCTGAGGACCATACTTTAAAACTCTGGAATTTGCAGAAAACGGTTCCTGCCAAAAAGCAAGTATACATGTTTTTATAAAACACCAATTGTGTTTTAAATGCCTTTGAAATTGATTAAACTCTTAAATGGTTTCGGAGTTTTTCAGTAGAGATTTCATGTAGTGTAATAACTCTTCCTTTCTCTTTCAGGAGTGCCTCTTTAGATGTAGAACCCATCTACACATTTAGGGCCCACATGTAAGTGTTTGACATAATGCTTGATAAATATATTGTTGTTACCTCATGGATTCCTAAGACACTTCAGTTCAAAAGCCACAAATGTATTCTATTTTTACATCATATAGACAAGGTCTGTTATACTTTGTAAAAACACGTAAATACTGAATCCCTGTCATGAATTACACAGACCATGATAAAACAAGAAGAACAGGAAGTGGCAAATGTGGATAGTTACAATGGAAAGGAGAGTTTGTAGAAGACTACAATGAAATCACCTGAATGATGTCCATGTCTTGGACTGTGGATTTTATATATGTGAAGAAGATAAGGTAGAATTTTTTAGTCTCACCTAGTATCTTCAGATCCAAGTCTGAGAAATTAAAAGTACAGATGCAATCATCAGGACCAAAAAAAACCCTCCCATTGAATGTAGGTTCAGTGAGTGAAAAATCAGGAGATCAAGCAAGTGACTAGGAGGGTTCTGAATTTTTTGGGGGGCTTGAACAAGAATAAGAGATAAAATTTCATTGCCAGGATAGGCCAAAGTAGCAGATAGAGCTTGGGTATTAATTCGTACATGGGCTGGGGGAACTTGGAAATCGGTTGAGATAATTGTTTTAATCAAAAAGTTGGTTAATACCAGAGTAAAATTCTGATAGCTACAGTTAGTTCTCTTGCAATGTCAGCTCAGGCTTCCTCCTTTCCCATCTAAGATTTGCCTGTTTTGTGGGCAGATAATGGTTCATTACACATCATAAGAAATATTCTTATTGCTGATTGCAGTCCAGCCCAAGATCTTGGGAAAGCAGATTGCACAAACTAGTCTGAAACAAGGAGGGATCTTTCTTGTGACAAATGGTGACAGTGAGCTAACCTGAATTAAACAATGTTAATAAAACTAGCATGTTGAGCTGGGACTTGTAAAACTCCTAGTGATTTTTCAGCTTGCATTAAGTGCTTTATTACTGCCTGAGTTTCAGTTGCTAATTTTGAATTCTGCTTCCTTCCAATAAGAAGGCCAGACAAAAATGCGCAGTCCGTAGCCAGTCACAGTAGTTTGAGTGTACTTTGCTTATATAACTAAAGATCCAGTCTCCAACCCAGTTAGCAGGTAAGCTTCACAAGAGCTCTTTGATAAGCATGGCAGTGGATAACACTTCCTGTGCTGGCCTCAACAAAAAAAAACCAAAAAAACCCCCAAACAAACAATCAATGAACAAACAAAAAACAAACACACACACACCCTGCCCCAAAATTAGTACTTTGTATTAGGAAATCTACCTATACCATTGTCACCCTCCTCCTTCCCTTAAGCCACTTACTTGATAGATCGTAATGTCGTTTGTCGTGTTTTTTTGTTTGTTTTGTTTTGTTTTGTTTTGCACTTATTAGCTAAAGTGTGAAACATTCTTCCCTAGGGCTGGGTGACTAATTTGTCCTCATGTTTAAATACAAGTGTTCTTTTGAGTGATAGAGGGTCACAGACCAACTGAATTCTCCTTCAGATCTCTTTCTCCATCTCAATTTGGGCTATTATTTAGGATTTTTTACTGAATAGTAGAAGGTAAGGTTTGGGGACGCTTTGATATAGAACTGGTCCCCCAACCTGTGACTTCCAATGAGACTGGTAACAAAGTAATTTTACTATTTTTCCACTCGGCTAGGCTTTGAGCAACACTCCCTTTCAGACCAGCTTTGTTCTTCACTTTGCCAAATACGTAGGTGGATTCAGCCAATAGCCTTCCTTTTCACCATCTTCAAATATGTAATTCTAGTTTGTTTATCTGCACTTGAACAACCTGTAAACTCCTTATAACGTGAGCATGGACTGTCAGATGAGCCAGGCATCTAATTTTGGGGATATGGTATTGCAATACAATTAAAACCTGACTTAGTGTGTCCAAAGGATTAGACCTGCTGCTTCCTTTGGGCTACAGCTTGTGCTTGACTGATATCACAGCACACAGGTTCAGGAAGTTAAACCAATCTAACCTTGGCCCAAAAGTGGTCTTTCTAGGATCATTTTTCTGAACCAGTTTACTGGAGCATAGGTTACTGCCGGTTCCTAAAATAGGATAAAAAAATGGCGGGGGGCTACAACCACCTCTTTCAGCACAGCTAGCTGTTAGATTGGCATAGATGCAATGTAAAAACTCACTGTTTGTAGGTGTCATTACTGTTGCTTCTGAGAAATAAGGTGGTGGTCTTTGAATTGCTTAAATTTGGATAGTTTTGGTCAATGTTATGAATGTTTTAACACAGCTTGGTATCACTTGTTGACACTTTAAAAAGGCTTTAACAGAATTGTTTCTTTTGGAGTTAGAATTTTTTCAACTACTTAATGCAATCCAATTTTGTTTGGAAAGTAGATAGACAAATTTTCACTTCTATCCTGTAGGCAGTATCAATAAATTTCTTTTTCTCTGTCTCCCAATAGTGGACCTGTATTGTCACTGACAATTAGTTCCAATGGAGAACAGTGTTTCAGTGGTGGTATTGATGCAACCATCCAGTGGTGGAACATGCCTAGCCCTAACGTGGATCCATATGATACCTATGGTAAGTACCTCTTAAAAGATAAACAACTCATAACCATTGTCTTCAACATTAATTTTCTGCTTGATGCTAATATGTTTTCTAGAGGTTTTGTGAAATATAGCTGCTATTTATCAACTAAATTGTGTGTTTTCAACTTTTTCTGTGTGGTAAACATTGATTATTTCCACTTGCATTGGTGACATACTTTGTATGGTACTGTAATAAGAAGGCTGGCAATTTCTGAGTTTTCAACAATAAAGAAAAAAATTAATCATAACACTTGCTTTTTAAGAAGCCTGCTTACTTTGACCCAGAAGTCCAAATTTTTGAATGATTATTTCTTCTGGTAGGAAGTTCTCAGAAAACTAAGATAAGTGTACTCAAATTCTACATCCTGTGTTTCTGATTTGCATCTGTTCCCATAACCTATGTCTCTGAAATTAAAGAGCTGATAACTGATTGGAAAACTGCGCATCACTCTCCTGCTATTGATGGCAATCAGCATTTTGTGTTTAGTGTAATTCTAAGGGTGCGGTTCCATGGTTGACTGAAGTTTGAATGGGTCAAAGTCAGGATTTCTTCCTCTCTCCCTTGTGTCAATGTATGAGTGAGCTAATAGAACACTTGGGCTGCATAATCTGTGGCAGTGAGATGGGGAGGGATTGGAAGCAAGTGCTGTCTTGCACCGATTTAGGAGGACCACTACACCCTGTCCCTTAAAACCAACATAGAGCTCAAATTGTGCCCCTCTGCTAAAATTTTATTCAGTACAGTCTAATGACTAAAAATGGTCTGATTTGTTCATGCAAGTAGGATTGTTGGTATAATTTTCATGAACCTCAGACAGAACTGTCTTAAGTGACAAAGCTCTTTTAAAAAGAGAGAGCTCTAACAGGATGTTTTTACTCCATAAAGCTTGTTAGCAGAGTTTTGGTTTACAAAACCAACTTATTTTTAATTTCCTGCAAAACTAAATTTTAGTGATTTATCTAGCTTTATTCCTTTCCATTTATCTTTTTCTTTCATTTCTCTACGCGAAGCCTGGTAGAGAATAGATTAAAAACCCCTCTATAAAAGACAATGATAAAGTATTAGGGAAAAGAAAATAAGAATGTGTTCACTTGTTCCACAAGAACAAGAAGAAGATATAATCTTGAAGAAATAATCTTGTTTTAATTATTAGAGTGCTTGAGAGTTTTAGAGCATGCCCCTGTGACATCAGAGTATGCTGAGTAAAAACAGCATTAGGCATCAGTATTTAAGTGGAAAGCCCATTTCATTAGGTGTTTTTGCACCTTGTACAGAGGAAGGGTTGTGACCAAGCATCTTTAAGATGGTGAATTTGGAGGGAAGAAGCAAGTGCCTCAAAGGAAGTGGTAACAAGTGTGTATCATTCTGGAAAAAAGGACATGGTTGTTTGTGGGGTTTTTTGGTTGGTGTTTTTTGGTGTATGTTGTGTAGGTTTTTTGGGGGGATGTTTTGAGAATGCTGTCAGTGGTTGTGCGAAATGAACTCCTGTATAATATCCTAGCTGTTGCTTGAACAGGAAGGGCTGGGGGGATATATGACAGTTTTAGGTGGAATTTAATTTATATTGAGGTGCAAGAAATATTTAATGTTTCTTCACTAAAAAGGTTTAATTTCTGAAATTCTGGTTTTTTTCCAGAGCCAAACGTTCTAGCTGGCACATTAATTGCTCACACAGATGCAGTCTGGGGTCTTGCTTACAGCGGTGTAAAGAATCACTTACTATCTTGTTCAGCAGATGGCACTATTAGATTATGGAACCCACCAGAAAAAATGCCCTGTATTTGCACTTACAATGGAGAGAAAGGTAAGTGTTTGCAGTGGTTTTGAAAAATCTGTTATGAAGGGCAGTTGATGATGCATCCAGGCTCATTATCTCCATTTATCAAAACTAGGTAACAGGACTAAAGGGAAAAGATCTTATAACAAAGTAATCCTGGTGCTGTAGCACTACTCTGAAGAAGGGAACGAATTTCTTTAAAGTAGGAGTATAAAACAAACTAAATGTTTAAACTGTCAAGAATTTTAAAAGTGTTTCATTCTTTCTAAAGACAATTTTTTCTTTTTCTAGAACATGGAATACCTACATCAGTTGACTTCATAGGTTGTGACCCTGCTCATATGGTGGCATCTTTTAACACTGGCAGCACAGTCATCTATGATTTAGAAACATCACAGTCAGTGGTAATGCTTTCATCACAAATAGAATCTGGTAAATAAAGCTCTTCTGTATTAAATATCAATTTTGGATGAGGTACCTTTATCCAAGTTTTATTACATGGTGAATTAAATGAAAAAGTTTTGCTCCTCTCCTGCATCATGCAATTTGAAAGTTGGTTAGATGCTTAAAGATGCTTGGAACAGACATGATGGAAAAGACTGTGGAATAGCAGGATTTGAAAGCGGTTAGAGATAGTGAAAGCAACAGTTTTGTTCTCTGAGCTAAGATTTCTCAAGATTCAGTTGTCTGAATTGCATATTAAAACAGAGTTTTTGTTATGTAGCCTTGACATGGAGAATATTCAGGTAAGTAAATAAGTGAACTTAGCAGAATATTAGTTCAGTGTAGAAGTCTGCACAGGTTGTGATTAAACACTTGCTCCTGTGTAACTTTTAATATTAGAAATTTTGTTGCTACAAGTAAGGTGCTGTGAAGATGTAGCTCTTCAAGAATTGTATGTATCTGATGAAACTCTAGATTGAGGAGCCTTCTGTTCTTGAACCTGGGAAAGTGTTCCATACGGAAAACCTCCAGTTTCTGGTCATTCCTTTCTATGAAATGAGATCTAAAAGAATAATGCAAGGGGAGAATTTACTTCTCCCTTCCAAGTAGTCTGGTTTATTTAGTGATTATACTCACAGTATTAAACAACTTATGTAAAGACTTCAACACAAGTTACAAAACTGTATAAAAGCTATATTCTAGGTAGCTTGTGCAAAAACTGTCATTGACAGCAAGAAATAACATCACAAATTGGATCTAATTTGAAGAGAGGATCTAAAATGGAATCACAAAAATTAACAAAAAAAAATTAAAACAAAAAAAAAAATTTAAATGTAAAAAAAATGTAAATGTGTAAAAAAAAAAAATGTGTAAAAAAAAAAGTAAATGTGTAAAAAAAAAAAATTAACAAAAATTAAGCACAGAAATGAAGGGAACAAGCCTTAAAACACTGGCCTATCAAGATAAGAAAATCTTTTTTAAAGAGTATTCTAAAAACTTCTAAAGAGATTTTAAACCATTCATTGTTTCTTTAAGTGGAAATGAGACATAAATATATCTGACAGAATCTAAAAAGTTAGGTTGACTTCAGTTATTTGAATTCTATGTGTGTTTGCTTTTCTAAGCTAAATCTTTTTTTGTGTATGCTAAACATATATTACAGATGCCACAGTTTGTTTCTGCTTGGCTAGTGCTGCCCTGCAGTAATGCTTCGTTTGTTTGCAGCTCTCAAGAATCTTTCATGTGTATAAACCACGTGTACAGCTTTAACTTTACAGTATATTAGCGAATTATACCTGGCTTAGCCTCATCCTGTAAAGCAAGAAGCTGTTAATTATTTCTTAGGAGATTCATTGATGCTTTTCCTAAAATGTTATTTACATAGTATTAGTTAATATAGTAAGCTAAAATGTAATGCTAAAATACTGTCATTTTAACTTCAAGCCTTTCTTTAAGGCAGGTGAATATTTTTCTTATTTTATTTTTAGGTGTACAATCAAATAATCATATTAACAAGGTAGTAAGTCATCCCACACTTCCTGTAACTATTACAGCACATGAAGACAGACACATCAAATTTTTTGACAACAAAACGGGTAAGGATAAAGAGAACCTAACTTCTATGTATGAATATGTTTCAAGTAAATTGGGATGGACATAGGGAGAATCCATTTGTAGAAAGATTACTAGTGATGCAGTTTTACACACGAGAACTTTTGGTATTTATAAGATTAAACCTCTTCAGTACTTTTTCTATGAAATAGTGATATCTGTTGCAATTGACTTCAGCAGTCAAAAGATACTCTCTCAAAACAGGCAGAGAGAGTTTTGACGGACAAGAAGGTCCTCTTAAGGTAGTGCTTTGCTAATTTATAGAATAGGTCTGCCATTTTCTTCCTGTCTTCATAATTTCCATGCTTTTATCTGTAAGCATTTACTTACATGCTTCTAACTCTAAGCATTAACTCATTTATATTTTTTAGTTCTCAATAGTAAAGAACATTCCTTAGTACCTATTAAGGCAAGAAGTAACTCTAAAGTCATTGTAGTAGTGGAATTCTGTGTTATACTTAAGTTGCTGATTAAGTTCATAAAAAAGATCTGGAAAAAAGAGGAGAAAGAAGGGTATACGGAAACTGTGATGACAAAAAGGTGGGAATAATTGTAAAAATGAACATATATTTCCAGTTGGTCAAATTATCAGCCACTTCCTGCATGTTATCCTACCAAAGTTGGAAGGAAAAAAAAAATCAGCATAAGCTGACTTCAAGTAAGCACATGTGCAAAGCCCTTGTTTTAAGTGTTTGGTTTGGGCAGGGTGGGGGGTGGTGTTCTTGGGTTTTTTGTTTTTAAAAGCAAAAAGCTAAGACATTTTTTTCCCTTCTCACCTGTCATGAATGCATGTGTTTGAATTGTGGTCATTAAATGCGTTGCAATGATTGTCCTGAAATTAAAATTTATTACTTTAAACAAGCAAAGATCTAGAATAAGGAGAAAAGTTTTGCATGAACAAATAATTAAGTCAAAGACAGGAAAGAGAAGGTAGAAGTAAATGGTCATTTTGTGAAATAAAAAATTACCAGGTCCTGGAGGGATCAGCAATAGTTCTACTTAATATGAATCATCTGAACAAGGGACAGTATGTTGCCAGTTTACTGACATTCATTAATTCAGAGTATTAAAGATGAAGGCTGATGAGGAAGAACTGACAATCTTAATAGACTTAAGAGCAGGCAAATTAAATTCCATGTGGATAAATATGAAACAATGCATGTAAGGAAAAATAAACTTTGTAATATAAAATAATAGTCACTGAGCTGACTTATTACTTAAGGTAAAACCTTGGAGTCTTAAGAAGAGGTTGGATGAGAATATCAGTTCGTTGCTTAGCGGTCAGAACAGCAAAATGAATATTAGAAGGAAGGAAAGGAATAAATAACAAAAAGAATAACTGTTAATACCTTTGTATGAATTATTGTTGTATCCACATGTGTACTCCAGTCTTTTTTATCTCAAAAAGGATATAGCCAAATTAAAATGTTTCAGAGAATGGTTAAAATACGATCAGAGACCTTTAGTAGCTTTTAGCTGCTTCAGGAAGAATCCTAGAAACTAAATAGGCTGAGATCCTTTGGGAAGACAGACAACCGAGCAAAGATGATATACCTTCTTCATGTTAGTCATTGCCTCACAGGGATTTATTTCCTCTCTTTTCCAATACATGAACTAAGTTTCAGTTGATAACCCCCAACAAGTAACAGATTCAAAATAGAAAGAGGTGGTTGTTCTTCTAATGTGCATTTAAACATTTTGGAAGTCCTTCCAAAAAGCATCATGAGATGCTAAAAGTCATTATTAAGAGTCTGGGAATGGAGGTCACTGAAAAGAAATGCATTAAGAGTAGTTGAATGCAGAGAGAACACCTCCGCTTTGTGACATAACTGAACAGTTAATTATCAGAAGCTGCAGAGTATTCAGAGCAAGTATCACTTATAGTTGCCTTGGTTTTATTTTCTTCTCTGGTTTATCACCAGTAGCCTCCCTCCTAGCAATGGCAGAGTTAGATGGACCTTTGGTATCACCCAATAAGTCACTTTTTACAAAGCTTCATCAACACTTTGTCTAATGGGGCAGGTATTAGGACGTTTAAGGGACTAAAAATTTAGGTTCTCACCCAGTCACTTTAGGATTGGTCTTCATTGTCATCAATACCAGTTAAGATGCCAGATGGATAAA